GGAATATTAGCAAAGGGTGTAACTTGATAACACTTTAAAAAAGACCAGGAAAGGAGAATCTATTTGGTTCAGTCTACTTTATGAGACTTATTAAAAAGAAAATTAACAGTAGAGATATATGCTGATGGGACATGTAAGGAATTTTTAATCATTATAAGGCCATGCTTTGTTATAAACAGCCTTTATGTACTTTCCAAATGTACTACTTGAATCTTCTGAACAACATACATTTGACTTCAAAACAAGCTCATCTAATAGCTTACAATAGTGCACGTTTGGTTTCGTGGTAGTTGTGAAACAGTTTTCTTTTTTTGGTTAGATTATGTAACAGGTTGACTATGGGTCAATTGTTTCTCAGAAAAGGTTATCAATGATTATAAAGCCTGATCTTCCTAAATCACAAAGCGTATCCCAGCTTGGAAATCAGTTGACTTGTGTGAAAATCGTAATGCCAGTCGATGTTTTTCCGTTACCTTGATTAGTCACCCAGTATCTTAGTTGCTGCAGAATAAAACAAAAGTTCAGGTTTTCTGGTTTTTACCAGAAATATGAAAAACTTAATAATATCTTCCATTGACATGTAAGTGATTCTTAATCACACCTCTTCCCCTTTCTAAGTAAATAAACAAAATGGATCTCATGACTGGGAGAATAACTGGACAAGTTTCATTTTAGCCTCAGTGCACGATTCCTGGGCACTCATAAGCCAGCAACTGGTGTTTACAATCCAGCTGTCCTTCAGAGAGTAGAAATAAAATATTGCCTAGTGGCCGGGCGCGGTGGCTCACGCCTGTAATCCCAGCACTTTGGGAGGTCAAGGGGGGTGGATCTCGAGGTTGAGAGATCAAGACCAACCTGGTCAACATGGTGAAACCCTGTCTCTACTAAAAATACAAAAAATTAGCTGGGCATGGTGGTGTGTGCCTGTAATCCCAGCTACTCGGGAGGCTGACGCAGGAGAATTGCCTGAACCCAGGAGGTGGAGGTTGCGGTGAGCTGAGATCACGCCATTGCACTCCAGCCAGGGTAACAAGAGTGAAACTCCGTCTCAAAAAAAAAAAAAATATTGCCTAGTTTTAGTGTGAGTTAGAATAGAACTCTTCATGGTAAATTTGTGATAATTGAGGGTCCTAATATGTGACCTTTTAAATATAAGCTTTTGTTTTATTATTTTAACTTCTATTGTGACATTAATCACATTTTTCTTTTCAGGTCAGGGTCCCTACTGCTCAGTTACTGTATGTTTATAGTCTAATTTAATTTTATAATTGAACTAAGTAAAATACTCTATGGGAAAATTATACAGATCACAAAATGTCCCATAATAATATTAGCTGGAGCCGTATGAAATGGCTGATATGCGACTGTTCTTGACCTACAGAAACGGTATTCACTTAGTTCACGCCTCTACCAAAACCTCACTGTTTAATGGTTCAGATCAAGAAGCCACGCACTTAGTACACCTGGAGGTACTAGCAGCGCCCGCTGAGTGCAGGCAGCACTTAGTACACCTGGAGGTACTAGCAGTGCCCGCTGAGTGCAGGCAGCACTTAGTACACCTGGAGGTACTAGCAGCGCCCGCTGAGTGCAGGCAGCACTTAGTACACCTGGAGGTACTAGCAGCGCCCGCTGAGTGCAGGCAAAATCGGCTTAAAGTTCTTAGAATCTAAGCACGGCTAGACAGAGATACAAGTATCTCTTTATATAGCTGTATCTAGGTAGATATATCACACACCCACACACACACATACATATTCATATTCTTTTAAGCCTTTTAAATGGATAGCTTCTAGAATGGATTAGCACTTTTCTAACTCATTAAACTGACCAAACCAAACAAAATAGGAACTTTCTGAATGAATCAGACATCAGAATGGACGTCAGCTCTTCTACCGGGAATGTAACACCGTGATGCCGGTGAAACCCATTGAGTTATATTAGCTCTTACTGCAGTATCCCCAGAATATTGTGCTTTTTAAGCTTTGGTCAGTTTTAACAGATTTCCTATTTTGTCTGCTATTGTATCTCTGCCCTAATAGGATCTATAACAAGTCCTAACCCCATTTATTTCTGGTATCCAACATTCTTTGGATTTAGAAAGCCAAATTTGTAATATTTTTAGGCAAAGCGTAAAAGCAAATATTCTATGAAATTGATGGTGTATGAGTTTCTTCTCCAAGGGAGAGCAAAGAGTTTTATGGCTTGATTTTTGTGACTTGACTAATTGATTCTCAGTTGTGTTCCAAATGCATAAGATTGCCAGATAAGTATTTGTGGATAAATGAGATGTTATAGGAGGAAGCCAGGGAGGGTAAGTCTGATGCAAAGCTGGTGGAAATTAGCCAACTATGCTATCTTAGTTTGAAATTCCTTTTTTTTTTTTTTTTTTTTTTGCTACTTTCAGAATCATTGAACCCTTAACCATTGACCTTGGATGGACGTGGCAACTGAGTCACAGATATTGTGACTTTTAAATCTCGAGGTTGAGTTGATAGCACTCAGTTTTCAGTGTGGTCTCCAGTGGTATCCACAATAATGAAATCATAGTTGCTTGGATGATTTGCTCAATCTGTATATATTTCTTATGTTCTGCCCTGAAAATAAGTTCCATCGTATAAATTAAAGGTAAGGAAGTCTGTTGCATAAACTTCAGCTCATTTTAAATCCTAAACTTTAAATTGAATGTTAACTGTTTCACAGTTACAATATTTTTCAAATGGCAAAGTTGCAAATCTACTTCTGTAAATAATATTGTGGGAAAAGCACAATTGCAATGTTGGAAAATACTTTTCCTATCGATACTACTTTTTCGTATTTTCTCATTTCATATCCATTCACACCCTTGGCCAAGACAAATTAGGACATTTTTTATTATAACGCTAAACCTTTATAACTGTATAAGGAAAAACTACTTTATTAATTTGTCAGGTTTAGAATGAGGTGTTAATGTCTTTGGTTTACCATTTGAGTACATTTTACACAAACGTGTTTAGTGCATATTTCGAGTAACAGTCGTGAAATGTAGTAAGGAATATCGCTGGCCTTTCGGAGCAGATATCAGTTCACGGCTGATGTGGACATCTGTATCTGTGAGGGCTGGCGGCCCATGCAGCAGAGACGCAGTGGAAAAGCTTCCCCACTTTGGGAGGCGAGTAGCGCCTCCCTTGCCCTGTTAAAGTTGCAGACTAGGAATAAGTTTCCATTTCTGCATGGACATGGCTGAGGCAGTTTTAGAAGGTCTGACAGCGTTGGGATTATCTTCCCAGATCAGATGACTCCTAATGCATCTGCTCACATTGTTTTGCCAGCTTTCAATTGGCCAGGTTCCCCAGTAAGTTCCTTTCATTGCAAATTTAATCCCCTTTACAAAATAGAGTATTACTATTAGTTTTGTCCTGAAAAAAGCACGTTCAATAATTCATTATAGTCTTCCGGTAAACGATTCCTGTTATAGGCATTTTAAATATTTCCAAATGATCTTGTTGGATTAATATCAGTAAATTAAAAGTGCATTTCACCAGTCTGAATTTAGAGTTCTCTCATGAATGATAGTTTGGACAACCAAAAATTCTGTTAAAAAGCATTATAGCCATGTGATTTCTGTTAATGAGGCTTTTCCATATTTAAATCCAGAGCTGCCACCATTTTGTACATTAAGTCGTACAGCGTTTACAGAAAATGAAAGTAGAATGGGAATGATGAATTTCTGTTGTTTCTAATGTCTGCTCTTACTTTTCTTAATTACATGATTTAGCCAATGCACCAGATTCTTTAGATAACCTTGTTCCTGCCTCTTTAAAGTATCTTTCTCTATTTTGCAAACTTCACCACTTTCCTACCTAATAATAAATATGCATGAGGCAGTACAGACAAAGCTCCCACATAGAAGCAGGTCGTGTTCCATAAGGTATTTGTTTGGGCCTCAGAATATACTATGACATGTAGGATCTGAGGCCGACAGACAAGAGCGTACTTAGCACAAAATGTACACTGAATAACAGTGCTATCGAACTGAGTCATCTTGGAAAAGATTATTTCTGTGAGAAGTGAGGCTTCCAAAAATTTAAATGCAAGCAACAAATCTGCTCTTACTGAAACTCTGTAGCTTTGAGATCTATGCCTTACCGCCACCCCTGAGAAGTGGGAAGAGACTCCCACAGTTCTGAATGTGTGATTGATTTGACTTGATGCCTGGCTACAATGAAGGGGATTAGGAGTTTGGGAAGAGGGGAGCACAGATATTCTGGGTCAAGGAGTTACAGGGAAGATGGGAGGACTATGTGAAGGGTCTGGACCGAGGAAAAAGGAATGGAAGAATATCTTATATGAATTCCCTCCCTTTTTCTTATAATTTCCCCTTATCTTTTCTGTTTCTCACTTTCTAGACTTTTCAAAATTATCAATAATTTATGGAGGTAGAGAAGAGCAATGGCCCCAATACTATACTAGATCGAGGATGTAACTCCTTCTTCTTACATCCTTCCCTGCTCCTCTCTTGCTCTGTGAGAACTCAACCCTTGAGTGACTTTGGTGCCACTGGGTGAGGCTGAGTCTTGGGTGCAGAGTATACTCCGTGTGTTGTTTAAGAGGACTGAAGTCCAGTAGCAACAGGTGAGGAAAAGGGGATTCTTCTTTCAGGCTCTCTGGGCTTACAGATCTTACTGGTTAGATTACTGCTTTTCATCTAGGACACACAGTATCTTCCATGGAGTACTCTCCAACTCAAGAATTCAAGACCTGATCTTACCTATGGGGTGGAGTTAAATGAGTCTGATGAAAAATAGGCAGTTTGACCAGGATCTTCTTAAAGACTGGATTCCTAAGTTAGATACATCAATTTAAATAAAAAAGATATATCAAAGTATAGGCATTATGAACAGCAAGAGAAAGTTACAAAAAAAAAGGTTATGAAATTGTCCCTTATAATTTCATCTGTTTTGGGATACTCAAGAGCGTCTGCACTGTACTAAATGAGGCACACTCAAAATCAGTGCATACTGATCCTTTCGTGGTTCATAAGCGTGGTAGTGAGTTTTACCATAATGTGACATGTGCCTCCTTTAGCCTTATTAGGATGTTGGCACATTACCCATCTGATATGAAAAAAAATCAGTACTTATTTAACTCTGTGTTCCTATACAGGGCTGACTTAGATTTGTGGTTTGAAAGGATTTGGGCTCTGATTTGTTCATTTAGTAGTGTGTGGCTAATTAACTGAGTTGGTTAGAATTCAGCTCTGGAGAGCGTAAGGTCAAGGGCTCAATTTCCCTGTGGGCCAGTTTATGGTTTTGGTTTCATGGTCATTGATTACACTCCTAATCCCTATTCAGGTGACTTGCAAAGTTATATTATTGATTATGAGGGATTGGATATGGGCAAATTAAAGCAAAACCTTTACCAGAACAAATTGATTGCATATAGTTGACAAGTCAAAATGGCAGTCCACTTAGTATGGTGAAGTTTGGTGTTGGATGGGACCTAAATGAAAATACCACTTTGCCACTAACTAGAGCACTTTGGGCAATATGGTTTCCTTTCCTAAATGTTAGTTTCTCTGTCTACAAAATGGGGATGATGTCAGCCTCATAGGGAACCTGTGAGGATCACTGAGATCCTCAGATACAATGTTGGCTGTGGTACACGGCTGGGACATGATCTTTGTTTACACTGGCCTAGTTCTCTCAGGGTATACTGTCCCATGCTGAATGTCCTAGGGCCTCTGCTAACTCTGTGCTCTGCCAATGGTATCTGTTAAACTCCTGCACCCACCATAGTTCATCAACAGCTGTTTCCAGCTGTACATCAGGAGAGCTTGAGAGCTTGCCTAGGAGGACAGTTTGTTCCATGATTTATCTTATTTCATAGCACCTTTCAACTAAATGGTTCCGAGTGGTAGGAATTACAGTGCACAGGGAGAGGATGGGAGCCTCATAGAAACGTACACAAAAGATAAGTAGGCCTACTCTGTTGGAGGAGATTAATTACATAGGTGGACTTCAGGCTGTATCTGAATCTTAAGATTTCTTCCACTTTATCGGGGCCTTCCAATGAGTTCTCGTCCTAAAGCCGTTTTCAAGTTTGTGCTCCTAACTACTCTGTTCATTTCCTCATTTGTAAATTTGTTCATCTCCCAGGAGAGGATTGAAACTAATAGGTATCATAAAGAAGACTTGGCATACAAATTATAAATAAGATCAATAAAAATATGATGGAATGATGCTTTTAAATTCTCCTTCTAAGATTATTAGCGTTTTTGTGGAGACAAAAATGCAAATGTGATGCTAATTATGAAGATCCATCTGTTGTACTTACGGTACCACAGGAAAAAAGCCTCAATTTAAAGCTCTTCTGTAGTACTTTGCAATCTTTGAAGACTCGTTTTGGAGAGGCTGTTTCCATTTCAAACAAACTTTGATATCCTCTAAGGTAGGATGTCTCCTTGAAAGACTCGGAGATGCTATTTGAAGAGGCCAGTTTATTCCGATATACCACTCCTGTTTGTTTTATTCTGCTGTACCAAATATGTACTTAGTAGGCAATGGGATAATTATTTGGAAAGAACGGTTAAGTAAATTATGAGAAGAAACGTTAGGTAACTACCAACCCCTGAGTACTTAGCTCAGAATTTGTTTCTTTTAATACCTGTCCTGGGCAGGGATTCTAAAATGTACTTTGATAAACATTTATTGAAACCTGTTCTATACTCAGTCTTAGACTGAGCATTCTCTTAGTAATTTGGATCAGGTCCAATTTAGGAGTTGAATGAGAAATTCATCTGATCCTCTCTCATTGTGTGTTTTTTAACTTGTACAACTGGAAAATTTACTTTCAATAAATGTTCATTTACGTTACAGAACCTAAGTATTGTTAAAGCCACAAATCCATGTTCTTTCCATTGTGTGATGTGATGTCATATGGTATAGAGATAGAGATTCATAAGTCATCATGGTAAAGGGACTTAGTCCACGTCATGCTGCTATAATAAAGTATCATAGAATGGGTAATTTATAAACAATAGAAGTTAACTGGGCTTATAGTTCTGGAGGTTGGGAAGTTCAAGAGCAAGGAGATGTGTCTTGGGAGGACCTTCTTGCTACATCATAATAAGACTGAAAGCATCACATGGTGACAATGTGCACAAGAGATAGCTGAACTCAGAGAGATAGCTGAACTCACAAGAGAGGACTGAACTCAGTCCTGTGATAATGACAGACTCACTCCTGAGATGATGACATTAACCCATATTAATAAGGGCAGCCCTGCTGCTGTGGCCTTTCTGGGCTCAGTCCACCAAGCACCTCTCACAGGTTAGAGTCTTGGTCTGCTGTTTTTCCAGGCTGGACATTGGTGACCCTGTGGTTCATGGTCTCAGGGGCCACACCACTCCCATGGCTCCACTAGGCATTGCTCTAGCAGGGACTCTCTGCAGTGACTAACCCTGTGACAAGTCTTTGCCTGGGCTCCAGCCTGTCTGTAACGTGCTTTGAAACCTAGATGGAGGCCACCATGGCCCCACAGCGCTTGCATTCTGTGTGCCTTCAGAAATAGCACCATATGGATATTACCAAGATTTATAGCTTGTACCTTGTAGAGTGGCAGGTCAAGCCACTCCTCAGCACCTGAGCCATGCCCAGGGCAGCTGAGGGGTGCTGTACCAGAATTCCAGGAGTGGAGTCCCAAGGCAGTGTAGGGCAGTGAATGTCGAGGTCATGTAGGTGCCTCTCTGGAAACCTTGCCCTTGAGGTACTAGCTTGCCTTGGAGATATTTGAAATGCCTATTGTCCTATAGTCTTGATGAGTAGAACCTGGCTTCCTTCTATCCATATGAATCTCCTTAGCAAATGTCTCTTGGCCATACCTTAGTATTCTCTCCTAAAGAATAAAAATAAATAGATAAATAAACTTAAATTTATTTAAATAAAAAAATAAAAATAAATAAACTTTTTTATTCTTTACCTGGTCAGGCTGATAGTTTTCCAAAGCTTTTCATTCTGCTTTCCTTTTCATTATAACTTCCATTTTTACATCATTTCTCTCTGCCTTCATTTTACTGTAAGTATCTAAAAGAAGCTGTGCAGCAGCTCGAGCAGTTCGTTGCTTGGATGTATTTCTTCTGCCGATGTCCTCGTTTCCCACTCAAGTTCTGCCTTCCACGAAGTTCTAGGACATGGACATCATTCCGTGAAGTTCCTTACAACTGTATAACGAAAATAAAGGGTGGCCTTTATGCCACTTTCCAATGCTCCTTGACTTATTATGTGGTTATATCTTGATAAACAAATTCTATGTTGAAAATACAGTAGGTCAAAAATACATGTAACACACCTAACTTGCTGAACATCGCAGCTTAGCCTAGCTACCTTAAACATGCTCAGAACGCTCACATTAGCCTATAAACAAAAGCCTATTGTATAATCAAGTGTGGAATAGCTCATACAATTTATTGAAATATATACTGTATTGAAAGTGAAAACCACAATGGTTGTGTAGGTACTGAAAGTACTGTTTCTGCTGAATGCACAGTACTCTCACGCCATCATAAAGTAAAAAAATCGTTTAAGTTGGGGACCGTCTACATCCTGCTTCTCATGTCTGCCTGACACTGTATGAGAATAGCCCTTACACTCTGTATTTCTACCAACATTCTGACGATGACCAGTTAAGTAATCCCTAGGAAGATTTGCGTTCTCCCTACAGCTCTTGTCTTTCTCTGAGCCCTCCCCAGAATTGCCATTACCACTCCCTTCACAGCAATCCAGGCTTTTACTAGCCTGATTCTTCTAGCGTCTACGCATTACCCAGTCCTAAAGCTGCTTCCACTTTTCAGGTATTTGTTAAAGCAGCATTCCCATTCTCTGTACCAATTTTCTGTCTTAGTGCGTTTTGCGTTACTATAAAAAAAACACCAGAGATTTGGGGAGTTTATAAAGAAATGGAGTTTATTCTGCTCATGGTTCTGGGGCCAGGAATTCCAAGACTGAGGGGCTGCATTGTGTGAGGGTCTTCTTGCTGTGTCATCCCATGGCAGAAAGCAGGAGGGCAAAAGACTACATGAGAGAAAGAGGAAGAAAAGGGGCCAGAACTCATCCTTTTATCAGGAACCAACTCCACAATAACTAACCAAGTCCCATGTTAATTAACTCACTCCCACAGTAACGTCATTAATGCATTTATAAGGGCAGAATTCCCACAAACCTACTCACCTCTTAAAGGTCTCACTTCTAAACACCACTGCCTTGGGGATTCAATTTCTGACACATGAACTTTGGAGGATTCATTGAAGCCACAGCAGGGACTAATGGAAGACACTAGATATTTTCAACTCTCTGAAAAAGGAGAGAATGAGAGAGAGAGAGAGAGAGAGAGAGAGAGAGAGAGAGAGAGAGAGAGAGAGAGAAAGAGAGAGAAAGAGAGAGAGAAACAAGCTTTCGGTTAGCTCAGGAACTGAGCCATGAGGGCCAGCTCTGATTGAGGACAGTAGTATTTGAAATGAGCCCCTGAGTAGTTCTCACCATAAAACCCAGGGATGGAGCTTTAAGGAGATTGTTCTCAATAGTGCCATGATGCAGAGAAGTCCCAAAGAGTGAGAAAAAAGACAAGGCAAAAATTCACAGTGCAAGGAAAAAAAAATGGAATTACAGAGCCCAAGGAACTTCTGAGATCTCTATGAATATAGTACACATACTAGAAAACTAAGATCAAGAAAGATAAAGACACTTAGGCAGAGCTACACGGCTAATCAGCAGTCGTACCCAGGATCAGTTCTGTCTCCTGATTCCCAGCCAACATCTTCTCCTTTTGTGCCTTCCTTTCCCTTTGTAGCTAGTCAGCGCCCATATAGACCCTTAGCACTTTCCAAAGTTTTGATTTTAGTGACATTTTAAATGTGAACATGAATCTCACCAGAAAGTTTCTCCACACATAGAAGCTTATTTGGGGCAATGTAAGTGTTAAGCATATTTTTCTTAAGGGTTGCTCAAGAGCTTCTTATGTTGAAAAACTTACACATCATCTCATAATAGCTAAAAATGTATAACCTGATAAGAAGTAAAGGGAATCTGTGATATGACATTCATAACAATTTAACAGAATACTTATT